AAACAAATATACGCGATTTAAATCCGGAAAAATAGTTTCATTTCCTATGTGTAACAATCGCGAAAACCTAAGAACTCGATAACTAAAATTTGTTTTGTTTCTTCTAGAATTCGTACTATTACCTCCTTCGTCGCTACTTAGAAAGCGTATACCCTGGCTGCGAAGCGAAATCAACTTTCCTCAAACTCATACAGAAGATTCTAGAGCTACGGAAGTTGGCAGAAGAAGTCACTGGAGTCTACCTCGATGTTAATCCTATTGAACCTTTGTTGATGGAGATATTTGATTTGAAACATCATACCGCATGAGGGTAGGCCTCGTTTGTTATTTATTATTATAAATTGCATAGTTTTATGTAATAGGTGACTTTTTAACACTCGCCGCGTCGAGGAATATTTATGTGTGTAGTAATATTATTACTACACACATAAATATTCGCCGACGTCAAGAATTATTGAATGAGAAACAAGGGTATTCGGTATTTGAGAGCATTGACCCACAAATTTCAAAATTTTCATTCCACTTATAATTCTGGCACAATAGAGTATATAACCTTCAATACCAGTTGGAAAAACAGTTTTTTTTTATTTGAACTTTTTTGCGATACAATATTAAACTACCCTTTTAAACAGTTACCGGTCAACTACCTAACACTCTTCATTATTTACAAGCTGAAATCGCGCCAAATTTTAGAGGGTCACAACCCTTATGAATTAACTTTAAATGTAGTAGGTATAAGCAAAAATATATACTCCACTGTATGCCTAGTAGCAATGGATTTTGGACGAATTCTCTTCGCATATAGTGTATTTTAAAATTTTAATAAGAAATCCCACCTTCAATACAAGTGACGGTTTTAAAAAAGTATACTTAAAAAAAATTTCATCAGCCAAAACATAAATAACATGACCATTATTTTATTCCCTCAGACCAGGACGCGTGTAAATTTATTATTGTTTTAATAATAAAAACACTTTATGATAATTACGACATATTAATGATGAAAAATATATAAAAAAGACTAAAATTGTATAATTAATCAATAAATTAAAAAAAGAACTAATCTTGTGTAGTCAAGTGCTCTATGTCTGGTTGGCTGGCTATTAAACTAGACTGTCCTGCTAAAAGTGGGACGTATGTTCACGTTAGCCAGAAATACCATTTCGCTAGTAACATGACAAAATTGTATTCGATTTAAAAGTTATGTTAGCTTTGTTTCATACGTATTTTTTAATTTGTCGGTTTTCCAAAAATTTTTCTTTTTATTCTTCGTCACTTTATTATATAGGGTGCTGAATGTAATCTATAAATTAACATAAATGGTAAATTAAACCTCTGTGAGGTCAAAAGAGAACGACTTTATGGCTGATCCAAATTGTATTTTTTTAAAAAAGCTTGATACAAATCGTGCGAAATTTTTGTTCCTTCCAAAGTCAATAACACTGTCGCGATTTCTGCACTTCATAGGCAAGTACGGGCAAAAAAAGTGTGGACATTCGTCAGAAAATCTATATATCATATTGCGACCGCTCGCGGCATGTATATAATATGGCTTGGTATCGGTATAAATATATATATAATTACACAGTTATTTTAAAATTCGATACCTGAATACCAGTACCTGAGTAATGGTACCGGTTCCTGAAAATACTGGTACTGTAAAAAAAATTCTGGTACCGGAAAATACCGATTTCCAAGCTTTGGTATATTTTATTATAATGTACAGTAATTTATTTTATAAACCGTACGGTTAATAAAATCGACCAATCCGATAGCTCAACTTTACAATTTTAAGCAATCGGATTGGACAGTTCGATTTCCACATTAAAATTTAAAGTCTTGTAATTGAAAAGTAGTATAGTACTTTATAAAAAGGGTATATCTATTATGTCACATCTTTAATAGTTGCTAACCAACGGTCAATTTCTACTTTCCTTGTATGGTGCAATTTATTTGTCTATACCACGAGAATTTTATATGTATAAATAATATGTATATAGGAAGACACTTCCGCCTTGTAGCCCATTGCGTTTAAAAATAGGCCCAAAGTTGTTATTTATTCATCTAATAATTTTAACTAATAAACGCCATCGTTATAGTTTTGTTTTTTGAAAATGATGGGCGACTTGGGGAGTACAATTATTTCATAGAGCTTACCGTACACTTCATCGTCTATTCGTATAATATAGGAAACGAACTTTTCGTACTAATTTCATACTCGAGAGTATCTTTAGTTCTGGTCTGATACTCAGGTACCAGATTTATAATTGGTCCTAGTATAGTGTTTGGCTACCGGGAAATATTTATAACTGGTTCTAGTTCTCGGTACTCGATTATCAATGGTCGAGTACTGGGAATTATTTTCAATTCGTTCTTATCCGGTACTTGAGCCGCACTATGAAGTGCTGGGAATTACCTAGTTTGAATAATTGGTGCCCTTGTATATATCAGAGATGTAGTCTTGCACACGCAATGTATATAAAATAAACTGCGGTATACACAGTATAAATAGGTTTTTTACGCAAAAAGTGGCTTGACATTGTTTAAATTCTAACAAATAAAGGAAGTATTCGAGGAAAAATATTTCTCGTGGTTTGTTAAACATAATCCTACCATAAGCCAGCATCATGTTCATAAGTTTTATTCATTGTAAATGTCATAAGGATTCACCGAATCAATTAGGTAGTTATTTGGTAATTTTACTATGAACAAAAAATAACTTTAATAGGTTTAAAAACTAGCCGTTCATATCTTTGTTAATAAGTAAATGTTTAAGTACATTTTATATTAAATAAAATGCTTAGTGCCAATGTTTATAAAAAGTACTTTTTTTATTATAAATTATGTTTGTTGAACTTTTTGTCACGTTTAATAGGAATGTATTACTGTTAAAAACCAATTTGTGTTTACTCTTTATTAATTAAGTTATTAAGTCAATTTGGATAGTCCCTATTTGATCTATGGAACATGATGTCATCGGACAAAATGACAATTTTTTATAAAAGTTTTTCTCCATAGAGCACTAAATCCGAGCCCACTTCTCATCGACTTCATGGAACAAAATGCATGATTTTTTTCCCAAAATTGTTCCTTATCAAAGATCCGAAAACTTGACTGCAACATAAGATTTCAATTGGAATGTGATAATTGTTGAAAAATCACAAAAAAGTCATGTTTGTTATGAAACAACTTGAAGAAAAAGGTATTACCTGTACTAAGGTGTCTTATTTCGTCCGAAGACATTGTGTTCTATAAAACGAATTGGCACTGCCCATTATTTTGTATAAGGTAGTTTACTGTTTAATAAGTATTATCCCCAATAGATAAAAGATATATTTATATTTTTTTTGTCGTTTAGTGGTGTCATCCACAGGGTGTTTCAAATATATATCGAACATTACTAAATATTCAATTTCCACACTAACCTAAATCGTAAAGTGACGGAAACGGAATCACGATATAAGAAATAAACATTTCATGGGATCGTGTTTATCATGATTCCGTTTTAAAGTGATAATTTAGGTTATTGTGGAAATAGAATATTTAGTAATGTTCGAATCTTTTTTGTTATTCAACGTTTGTAATGTGTGCAGTGTGTATCACGTACAATGATCTGCCAAAAATTGGAATTGCGTAGTTTTATAACTTATTAAATATTTTAATTAAAACTCTAATATCAAAACACTGACTGACTGACCTACGAAAATATTGTTATTATAAATTTGTTACAGCTGTAAGAGAAATTATTTTTTCTATAAAAACGATTAAAATAATGGGTATTGCAATAGGTGCAATAGTTATTAATGTAGGAAGAATATATCCTAGTTTAAACATATGCCGTTTTATTTACTTTATAAAGAATAACACAATTTTGTATTTTTTTTACCTATTTTATTTAAGTAATAAATATGCTATTCGAATAATAAAACAAATACTAATAGAGCAAACAAAAAACCTCGATTTACTACGATCAAAATAAATAAATTACCATTTTTCAGTACATATTTTGTTTCACATAATAATTATCATACGTCTATACGAAAGCGTAACAAAGCATTGAATACAATAAATAATTCGTCTGAACAAGGTATACAAACTAGGACAGACCTGCTAAAGGAGACACAGAGGCAGAAAAATCTTAAATAATATAACCATGACAATATTTAAATTTGATTTGAAATACGTAAGTGTATTTGACCAGCGACAGATTATAAACTAAAAAAAAATTGCTTATTCCTCTGGCATCTTTAACTGTGCTATTTATTAATATTTTAATTTAATTATGAAAGGCCCAGTAAGTTAATAAAATGTCATCAATAAATAGACTTTTATACTAATCAATGTTTACTTTGCATTATCGATGCCTAGAGCTAGCTTCATTTCTAAAGAATAGTTCTCAACAATACGATCAAAATTTTTCTCATCACTAACACAATCCTCAAACGCTTCGTCCATATCTTCTGCCATAGACATGTATGACTGTTCAACATCTTCAATCACCACTTCACTTCCATCCAAATCTACGTCCTCATTCCCATCTAAATCACTAGCACCTCTTTCTCTCGCAGTCTCAAGTTCATCCCGTGACGTAACACTACCGTCGGTAGCTGTATCATAGGTACTTACGATATCTGCACCATCTCGAACTTTCTCATTACCATCCCTATTACAATCTCTAGCTGCAATGCTTCCATTTCCCTCATCAATATTAACATCTTCCTGTATAACTTCCATTTTGGCCTGAACGTTGTCTTCAGTCAACGTGTCTTCGAAGGAAGTGTCATGACTCGGAACAAGAGTTGGTTCATTATCAGGTTCCGTGTCTGACTCTGTAGGACTGACCGGAATGTATCGTTCGTATTCTCCTGCGCGCCACAATTGCTCCGCTGACTCGATGTGAGCCTCAATCATGCGACATACATCCTGTTAAAAAATAACATGAGGAATTCGCTATAAATTTGATGAAGTTGCAAGAATTTTGACTCCTGCCACATTTCCCAGGCGTGGTTTCTGCTCCCCACACACTACGGGAAGGTTCAAAGAAGATATCAAGCTGTAGTATAGGAAGCTTCTATTTGGCAAATACAAGAGAAAAACTTACAGTACGAGAACACTGATCAGAAAGTTGGTCAGACATATGCTCAATTATTGTGTTGGTCCTGTTATCCACTTTGCCAGCGTGACTGGTCAGATAATCGTACTGGCGGTACAGTTCTTGCTCTTCATAGCGCAATGTTCGTTCCAGAATCTCGTTAGCCACAGAATCGTCAATACGAGCGTTTTCTGACATATCTGAGTAATTAACACCTGAGTACAAGAAGCAAAATGAAAAGCTTTTACGACAAAATTAATAACACATAAAATACTATAGCGACAACGCTTTGTAAATATCCCACGAGAGAAGTATGTTGTCTGCGCCTCGGCTTCTATTGGTCTCTGCTGCCCTAACTGAATACAATAGTTTCGTAAGAATACCGTTCTACTTTTTCAATACTGCACGAGTCTTCTTTACATTATACTATATTACTATTTCGTAAATTGAGTATTAAAAGGATAAGCAGGACCGGGAGAGTTCGCGCGTTCGAGGGAGACTTATGTCCAGCAATGGATGCGTGTAAGTTGATGATGATGATGAAACACACCTTGTGAAGGATACCGTTTATCAGCGTATGAGTTGAATGTACCGATGATATTTTTCTTGGCTTCGTTGCGGTCCACTGCAATCATCATATCGTACGATGTCGTAGGACCGGAGTACGGTGCTTGTGTTGGTTCAAATTCTGTCGAAACAAAGATAGTTTAATCATAATTTGGTTATGGGAGAGAAGTCAACTACTGTGATGTATTGAATATCGGTTATAACATTGATGCATAAGTTTCACTCAAAATATATAGGTTGCAAGCGGCATAGAGTTACATTTAAACTTTTAGTCTCAAGCTTGACGTACTGTTGACCCTACAAGAAAATGATAAAGGAACCAGATCCTTAGTATATACTGTAATAAACGGATAGCTATAAATGTAAAAGATCCCCATAGATGGACAGTCCCATATCTTTCTACATAAGTTTTGTTTATAGTGATCGGGAGGATCACTCTCTTCAACTCTCAACTTCTTGGTTATACGGGAAGGGGCACTATAACCTGTGCAAACAAGACCGCACAGGGATCTTAAGATACGGCCGTTTGCACAGACTTCATCCGGTTCTCAAAAGGCCTTAGGTGAGATGCCCTGGGTGCACATACAGCGCCCTCCCTATTGTCCAGATAGGTACCGGAGCTCTTGGTACTCTCATTTCCCATGGTGCATTGCGCCACTAACGGTTACCACCGCTAAGCCGTTGACTCTAAAGTTCACTACCAAATCTTTGGTGGCGGGGCTGTAGGCAGCCTCACCTCCCGACGCCGAGGCGTCTCTCCAATTCCCAGAAACCTACGCAGCTGGGATTTCTAGCTCATTCTCTACTAACTCTCGGGGCTAGTGCCGGAGATGTTGGTCGTAGTGTCCTGCGACAATGTCCGGAAGTAGGCTCCGACTTAAAGAGCAACTCACATGTCTCGCGCGTCTCCTCGAATAGGTCCTCGTCTAGACCGCTACTAAGACGCGCTACTTGAGCGCGGGATGAACGCCCCAGCTACATGCTACCGGGGCAGACGACCGTGTTCATCTCTACAGCTAACCACAAACCCCAGCGAGTCCGGGTCCACCAGAGACGCACGTGAAGGCGTATCAGTGGCGGAGGGCTTAGCCCGGACGCCCGCTGTTCCCAGATCTTGCCGACAAGCCCATAGTGGCCCAGGAACTCCCTATTTTCCGGGTCACTAGATAGGGATAACATAGATGAACAATAGCTATGGGCCAAAATATTTTGTACTCGGTGCAGGTACTTTAGGACTTCCTAGTTTTTGTTTTGTTTTTCTATTTCCGTGTTCTGTATAGTTGAAGGTAGACTGTCTTTAGGAGATTCCTGGAGATTGAACATTTTTCTGTTCAAGAGGTAGGGCAGAAACTGCCGTTGTATTTTATGAATTTTGATAATTCCAATTCAGCAATCCTTGTGGCAAATGCCACGTAACATACTATAAGTAATTAAATATTTGTTTAAAAACAAAACCAGTACAAACAATGGAAATCTAATAATATACTGACCAGATTCTTGAATAGTTCCGTCTAAATCTTTCTCATCTCTCAACATAGGATCGTCATCAACATTGGCATATTTCTTGCCTCCGTCGACTTTATTCTTAGGAGTACTCGAAAGTTTCGTATCTGACTTTGCAGATTTACATCTTTGTCTAGATAAGTTACGAGTTTCTCCTGAGCTTTTCGTTTTCTCATATTTCCCTATTTTCTTTGTGTTTTCTGCACTTCCTTTGTTATCGGATTTCTTACCATCTTTGGGTTCAGTGTCTACGGCTCCTTTCTTATCCGATTCAGCAGCTTCTGTCGGTTTTGTGTCTCTCGTTTTCGTTTTGTTATCTTTTCCTGCTAATTTTAGGTTTCTTGTAGGCTGTAAAGTTTCATCCTTTGCATCTTCTGTCTGTTCTAAAGAACTATCCTCGCTAGATATGTTTATGGATTCAGTTTCTCCAGATGATACTGAAATTAGAATCGTAAACCAATTATTACTGAAATTACGTTCAAATTGTTTTCTAGGTTCTGTTGATTTATGTAGGTACTTCTTAAACAATTACTAATTAAAATTTTGTTTTTTCTTAATTTCAAAGACTTACGGTCAGACTCTTTCTGTTCTTCCCCGATCTCATATGCTATTTCAGCGGGTTTTTGCTGGTCCACATATTGGAAGAGAATTGCTCCTGGTACATGAGTCAGCTTTACTTTGTTCGCATCTGCAATCCAAATTAAGTCAATCTAGAAAGCCAATAATCCTAGGAAAATGCAAAAGCCAAAAGTCATTTTCAAAGTCTTGTCACTATTTCCTTCAAATTCAAGGATCGTCCCAGTTGTTAATATTAAAACAGTTAATCAATCAATTACGAATCAGTTAATCAGGTTAGGGAACTTTAAAATGTTCGTAAAAATCTCCCTAACCAGGTCTGTCTCCCTCAGTGAGTTGACTCAAAGCAACCCTGTCAAAGGCGTTGTCAAGCCTGTAAGTAGTATAGGTAGTCTTCTCCTTTATCTCGTGGGCAGGTACTCTCTCTTCTTGCTTATAGAATTCGTCCATTGTCTTCTTATCATAAAGTTTCTGAAAATAGCATTTTTTGATCATTTTGAACACTACTCTTCACTACTAGCAATTTTATGATTATAATTTTTCTTTCGATTCCCCATAAACCTGTATCAGCAGTTTCATAGATTTGAATGAAAAAACAAAAATAAATTGTGTGTATTTCCAAAACTGGTGGAGCACAAGCTGTTGGTTTTAATGATAACGCGCTATCTAAAGAAGTTAAGATTTATTTTAAAAAATAACCCTGTATAACATACACAATAGAACACCTACTTTGACCATGTCTTACCTACATTACCTACAGCATACATTTCGAAATTTGGTTATAACTACATATCTTGTAACATAAAATATTGATATTATATTGGTATACGTTCCTTTTGTTCTAAAGATTTGTTATTTTATTTTAAGTGGTTCAATATAATAGTAATAATAAAAATACTAGTGGTGTTAGTTGAAGTGGATCCTATGTAAATAAGTTGTCATGGAAGTGAATATTGTTTTTATCTATCTATGTACCTAGTTACAATATAACGTAAACAAATTTAGATTTTTAGACTCTTTTCTATTAAAACAGATACCAATGGTGTCTGAGGTACTTTCATAAAAAAAAAACAGTCTTTTGCCACGCCACTATTCTGATAATACATAATATAATTTTGATAATATATCTGAAATATTTCATTATCATGACTTTAAAACAGACCAAATCAGCGTACTTCATAATTATTTATTCATCGTAAGTCTTACCATGGGATCAACCGGAGGTTCTCCCCTATCGATTCTTCTCTGACGTTCCTCTTGTTCTCTATCCAATTCGGCGAATATCTCCAGATCTTCAGCACTCGGTTCGAGGTTCAATCCTTCATCAACATCGAAATCAGGGTCGTTCATACGACGCATGTAGTTCAAGAAGGCATTGCTGTCGCCATCGATTTGCGCTGTAAAGTCATTTAATACAGTTTATTTTGATAGTAAAAATAATGTACTTGTTTTCTTAAAAGTCAGCAAAGATTTTTGTTTTTATTCCTAAATAACTTTCATTACATATAGCTAAATTATTACATTAAAATTTTCTGAAAATTGTCGATTAAATAGAGAACTTTGGCTTTGCAATATCCATGTCAAGCCATCATTAGTTATTGTAATAACTTAAACTAATTTCTAATTATTAGTGAAAAGATCGAATACTATGAAATAAAAATTCCTTCGATCCGGCTGGATTTGAACCAGTCTCTCAGCAAACCGTGCCAGACGCTATGCCAACTAAGTCGTATGTGAATAGAATATAGAAATAGATTTCTCGCATCAAAAATAAAAAAGAAAAAGTCCTTAAAAATAAAAAACAAAGATCTACAACAAGCACAGAAAAATTCGTAAGGTCAGCTAGTCCGTTCCGTGACTTGACATTGCGCACGTCTGGCACGGTTTGCTAGAAGACCTGGTTCGTATCCAGCCTGATCGCAGGTAATCTTTTCTCAGTGTTCGAACTTTGTATAAATACTATAAACTCGTGGAATAATTTCACAAAAATAATTGAATATCATGGTGGTGAAACATCGTGACATTCAATAAACTTAAAAATTAAACAAGTTAACTAACATTCAGGAGATTGTTGTGAATCACCGCTCCCTTGACTCCCAGCTGCACTAGGTGCGTCATTTCCTTTAGAGGCATCCTTTTCTTCTTTCTTGGTTTCTTTGCTCTTTTCTTTTTGATTCTCATCTTTGACGTTCTTTTTAGAATCATTTTTGGTTTTTGGCATTTCCGTCACCATGATGTTTTTACTTATTTGTTCCTTATCTTTACGTATAGTTTTTGAAATTTCCTTTATGGGAACTTGCTTTGTTTTAATAGATTTTGATTCAGTAGCCTTTATTTCTAAGATATTTATTTTTTTCATAGGTTTTCCTAAATTGTCAGCTTTTTTGTTTTCATCTGATTTTTTATTTAGCTGAGATGTGATGTCCCTATTATTTTCATTTGATAAATCATGAAGAAGTTTTTTGTCATGATCTATAATCGTATCTCCTTCTCTGACGACACCTTCGGGTTGCTGATAATCATTATTTTCAGATTTCTTATCTTGTTTGTTCGTTATTTTAACAGTCTTTAGATCTACTGATTCCGTTTCTTCTGTAGTCTTAGGATCTTTTGGATTATCTTGATAACTTTCTAGAATTTCAATCAGTGGTTTCTTGTTAGCTTCTTCGGCTTTTTTAACATTTTCTTTGTCGGATGCCAATTCATCTACAACTGGAGATTTCATTTGGCGTTTTTCATTTTTACGATCTGTAAAAATGAAGTGATTTTACTTTCCCAATTAATATAATAAATAAATAATAATAATATAATAAATAATAGTTTTCCACATATTAATGCGCGTGTGAACATAACAGACTGAACTTTTCTTAAAACCTGTGTTTCTTGACTGCCTGTGCATACAGGCAGTCATGGTTGTGGGGTTGGGTGTTGTTGTTGGGCTTGGGTTGGGGACTGCCCGCAAACTGGTCAACGAAATATTTTCAGTCAACTGAAATTTTTATGCGATTACTTATTCTTACCATCCAATATTTTAGTGATTCTACGTTTGCTATCAACGTGTGGTTGTTGATTGAAAAGCATGTCGTGGATTGCTTCAATGTCCGTAACAGGTGACCTTAAAACCAATTAAAATATTAAAACATTACACGTTTTATATTTCTCCATACTAAATGGACTGGTTGAGTGACTACCAAAGATATGAAAAACAAAGGGAGATGTGCCATGACGCTATGTTACTTCGCATCCCGATGTCGCGCATTGTAGCTTATATGCAACTCAATCATCACGCTCTATTATCTACTACCATAAATAAACCATCTAGATTGGTTAGATGTAAGTTGCTCTAAATAAATGTTGTAATAATAATAGTAATAAAAGAAATCAATTTTAACGGAAATGATTTTCCCTTCGATGTACGTGGGGCATACTGTAAGATTCTGGAGCTGGCCAGTTGTGAAAGAAACTAAAAAAAAAACAAATATGAAATTTGAAAAAGGAACTCATTGTTTACTTTTTACTTTATAGAGATTGTCATTTGTTTTTTCATTGCGGCATCGTTTTGAAAACTATAAGTCGCTATTACAATGAATTTCAGTTTCGGTCCATGATTTTCTACGATTTTCGATGTGACTTAAATCAACAAGAGAGTTGTCGGAGACTTCAATTGGCATTTGATGATGAAGCCCAATGTCTTAGCTCTGTCTAATCGTGGTTCCAGTGAATTTAGACATGGACGTGATCATCTCCATGACGATGTACGTGAAGGTCGACTGGCGACTGCAATTACCGAATTGAAGATTTGCCGGCGAAAGTTAAGAAAAGTCGGTGCACTGGCACTGGTAAGAAAATGGTTGCTTCTCTCTTCGGCCAACCAGGACATTACACTACTGTAGCGCTTGAAGACCAAAGGATAGTGACTGCAGATTGATAGTAAACCCTTGCATGCCCAGAGTGTTAGAAAAAGTTCGCGAAAAGCGTCCTCGAAGCAATATCGTCCCTCACCACGACTACGCCTCTGCACATTCCGCTAAGGTAACAAATGCATATTTGAAGGCCTCAAATGTGGAGCCGATGACCCATCCGCCATACAGCCCAGATCTTATACCATCCGACTTCTTTTTATTTCCAAAAATCAAAGCCATTGAGGAGGTCCCTACGGAAGACTGGTTTTCACAATGGTTCCATTGAATGCAAATGTATATAAATAGTGAGGGCATATTATTATACTTTGAAAAACAGTAAATCTATTATGAACATAATATCTGGTCTTACTTATCAGAATCCAGAAACTTTCAGTGTGGCCCAAGTATTACACATAAGTATTAGACACTTTACTCTAATTACATAATCATAGTAAGAAAATCAAAAATTTCGGTAAACTTATGAAATCGATAAATAAACATCGATCATCGTCAATGACATCTCTGTAATTCTAGAAACTTCTAAAGGGGCAAAAAATGAAACATCGAATAATAACATAAAAATTAATTGAATATGAATATAATCGCAGTAGGCACGTCATCCCACTGATTTTGAAATTTTTGTTTTCACTCCCATTTTGACAAGTTTTTACGCTACAAACTGGCTTCTTCACATTTTGCGAAAGTTCTCGAATTCTTGTGCGTATAACAATCGCCACGCCACCATGGTGATGTTTGAAAGCGTGAAACACCCATAACAATAAGCACATTTTGGGCATATATCGAGGCGACACGTTCTATGTCCCCATACCCTATCTCTCCCTTATTTTTCATCTTATCTATGCTACACAAGGCAGATCAAAAAGGTTGCAAATTTATTTAAGACCTTATGTTGTGGTTAGTTTGTAGTTTTGAGAATTATTATTAACTCACTTTTGACTGCACGTAGGTTCACCGTTGAAGACTCCTCTGTAGCCGTGCCAATACTCTTCTGGGGGTGGAGGATTCTCAGAATGTACCTCTTGAACGAGTTGTTTTCCATTACCAGACCATTCGATATTCCCTGTCTCTGTTTCTGGAATTATTTTAATAGATTATTAAATGGTCATCTACAGTCGCAAAGTCAACAATAGAACTCTTATTTATATATTTTTCATATGCGTCCTGTTCTTGTAAATCACAAATTTGAATTTCGATAAAAACAACAGCTTCTTGTCACCAGATATAGATGTTGTTTTTAATACCTTGGAAGTCATTTAAAAAAGCACGGAAACCTCAGCCTTAGAATTCAGTAGCATCCCTTTCGAACACATTCTAATCGAGTTAGCTATTCGCGTTCATAAAAAATTTTGTTAGTTTATTGGTATATTTACTTTATATCTTGTATGCATCGCCACTCCAAACTTATGTGACTGTCACTTACCATCTTCTTTCCCACCATCATCGCTGTCATCGCTACTAGAATCACTAGAAGATTCCGCCTCTGACCCTGACAGCATATCTACTGGCATACCACTTTTTGTGACCACTTCGCCGCCAAATTTTTCTTCAAGTGTACTAGGTCCCTCGATTTCTATTCTTGAAACAGTTGAGTTATCCTCTTGGATATCTTCTTCGGATTCGTTCTGCAACGTGTTTAATCTGTTAGCATTTTCAGTTAGACTAAAGTCAGTTTGTGCCAAAGTATTGTCTCATTAAACATCATCAGTTCTACGTGCCTAATAATAATAAATATAAATCGCTTATTGTCTCAACACATTAATAATAATATGAAGTTCCATAGTGAACTAGGCAATTACGTAATTATTCATTAGTTATCTCGCATTTTTACTTGCGGCCTCTTCACTAAGCACAAGCTTGTGGTGTAGAGACCGTTTTACATTTACTATTGGCACATGATCTGGCACATGGTTCGTAAATTGAGGGAAGACATTCAATGTATAGAGTTTAATGTTTGCGAGTTAGCGAATATTTCTGAAACCAAACAAAAAACATAGCTGCACAAACTTGAAGTTGGGTGTTGTTGAACTTAGAGTCTATTAAACTTGTTAAGACTGAAATTCGTTAGCAAATGACGTTATTTACTTCCAGACAGGTAATTATTTCATTTGTTAATGCTAACAATTTTTTTATTATTTTTATAAAATAAATTATTATTAAAACAAATTATTATAGTTTTTTATTTTATTTTTTAACGTAACACTCATGGTCCCGCACTAGGCAAAGCCGTGTTGCGAGTGCCATGGGATCACACAAAGACAACAACAAAATTAATTACACCAACACTCACGAATGAAACAAAAATATAGGCCATACAAATATTTTTCCGGGCCCGGGAATTGAACCCACCCGGGTTCAGCGTGACAGACCAGCTTGTTACAATAGAATACTTGTTCAGCAGATCTAAACAATGTTACCTTTGGTGGTAGGCCAAGTTTTTCTCTTTCTTCCTTTTCCTTTTGCTCTCGTTTAGCTTTATTCTCGTCTCTTATACGGATCAAGTAGCGAACGCTCTCCATCACTTTTTCCTGATCTCGAGCTATCCAACTGCATAAATAGAATTTTAATAAATTTGCCTTACTTAAAGCTTAACCTTATTACAGCTACCGAGTTGAAATTTATTTTTGTTTTTCAAGATAAAAAACTAATAAAGCAAATTAAAGCATACCGTCGCCTTTCAGCGATTTCTTCCTGCACGCCACCCCTTTGCCAAGCTTCAGCGCAAGCACGATCTCGTGGAAATACAGGCCTGTTATCCAGGTTTAACAGCTCCTTTAGTCTCAGAGTCAACGTCTTGCGATATGCAGGAATGTTACGGACTACGGGATTGCCCGTTAGGACTAACACTGAATTGACAAAGAGGTTCACACTTTCATCTGACAACGAAGACTGTTTAAAAATATTTCGTGGAGCTACTAGTCTGCAGTACTCACCTTTCAAAATAGCCATATCGGATAATACATCGATTATCAGTGGGTCATCAATACGATTGTAAGACAAATCCAAAACTGAGAGATTAGTGCAGAACTTGAGTTCGATTATGTCATCTAGAACGTTAAATCAATCTTTATATTTATAGTTTACGCATAATAGAATAGAAACATTTATTTCATATTATCAATGTCACAACATTACAATTTGAAATATAATATAAATAATAATATAAGCAATAACAAATACAAATAAACACAAAATGTTGTTGAAATGCAACAATTTAAAAAATATAATTACTATTTCTTTGAATAAAATTACACTGTAAATGAAAAACAAAGATCTGCAAGAGGCTCATAGAAAAAATCGGAAGGTCGGCTAGTTCGTTCCGCGGCTTAGTTGGCATAGCGACTGCCACGGTTTGCTGGAAGACATTGATTCGAATCCAGCCGGATCGAAGGAATTTTTTCTTAGTGTTCGATCCGTGTATTAATATTATTACACTGTAAAATTGATTATCCAATAAATGGAGTTTCAGTCAATATAAAACATTTTGTTTTCGCTTTTTCGTTCAATCTTCGTTCTTCAATTCCCGTGCTCGGCTTCCACCTGTACATCTCTCGTAAGTGTTATGTTTTAACGCGCGTATAATTAAATATATCATAAATGTATTGTCACTACGTAGTTGTCACATGGTGTTTTTTTTTAAATGTTTCTAAAGAACTGACCTTTTTATCCCTACTATGATTCCCTATTCGACCGAGTCGAGTTATCCCACAGTCAACAAGTGAAAGTATGCAAATAAAAGATAGTACTCATTCAGTAGTCATCGTCATAGCGCATCTGGCGCTAAATACCTACGAATCTTAGAAACCGAAACCTCAGTCTCTTATTCACAATTAAATTATACAACATATAATTATAATTATATAGCATATACTGAATACTGTGGGCACTATTCCAGTAAAACAACGTCGTATCAACTGTTACTAAAACATTACAAAATAAAGTCCAATTACGTGAACTTACCCACTGTCGCAAGCATATTATGCGCCATACTTAACGTATGAAGAACTGGAACTTGATCTAAATTTTCAATCTTTCCAACAAAATTATGGTCCAAATTCAGGGTATCTAATTTGGCACAGCCCTGTAGGTTTTCTATCTTTCGGATGATATTGTAATGCAAATAAAGACACTTTAATTCCGACAAAGTATCCAAGCCTTCAATTCTTTGAATTCCATTGTTTTCGAGAAAGATGCATTTGAGGCCTGTGTACTCTTCAAGATTTTCGATCTTGGCAAAACCCTGAATAAGTAATAAATCATATACCTACTTACTGTAATGTTCAATAGCCTTACAGAACAGAACGAAACAGCTCTTTTAGTTAACAAAAATTTGTTTACCTTGAAATGCAAATAAAGTATATCATTCAAATGTGGTGTGTAGTACAACTTGTGCTGTCTACAGTGATCTTTGATAAACGCCTTTGTCATTCTCGGAGCCTTATTCATCTCTTCTAACTCTTTTTCCAGTTTAATTTGATATTCTCTTTGCCTCTGTTTCTCTTTTTCTTCTTCTTCTTTCTTTTTCCGTTCTTGTTCTTTTCGCATTTTTTCGATAGGACTTTCTGAAATATAATACGATTGAAAACAAGTTTATTATGATTAAATAAGTTATAAATACCTTATACCTTTTACAACTCCTTCTATAGGCGGAATTTCAGAGATCAAAGGTATCTTGTGTTTTAATTCTTGATAACTTGATTTGTACTCCACGTCTTCATGGTCGCCTTGAGCGTTACTGTCCATGTTTGCATAATCCGAATAAGTCTTCTTCTTCGCTTCATGCTCCTCAAGCACTTTCTTTTTATTTTCCTCTCTTCTCAACAGATTATTCGCAAGTCTTAAAACTTCTTTGTTATCTTTCATTTTATCCTTAATTTCATGAAGGAGGTTATCTATACGCTTGCTTCTTTCAGATTCTTGTTTTTTGAATTCTTCCAGCCTCTTATTTGTTTGGCATTTGTAACTTTCAAGATCGATGTTCAAATCGCGTGTGTGTTTGTTTTCTCCATTTTCATTCATTTGCTTGACTGATTCCGCTTCTTTTTGTTGTAACAAACCTTTTTCTTGAGCGAATTCTTTTGGATGTAAGATTTCTCTAGATTTCTGCATGATCACACTGACTTCGTCTATGAAATCCTTGCACTCTTTATTCCTCATTTCATATCTTTGCTTGCTTTCGTTGATTCTATCTTCATGACAGACTAATTCAGCATTGAGTTTACTTATAGCACTCCTTATATCATCAATCTCGGAATTCGTAACGCCTGAGGTGACAGATTCTTTGACAAGCAAGCTGGCATTTATAATGTCTTCTTGCTTCTCCTCGGTGACTTCCACTACAGTAACTTTACCAACTTTGCTACTTCGTTCACGTTGCAGAGCCTCACCCTCTTCTTTAATTTTCTGATAAGCAATATTAGACTGTTTAGAATTCTCTAAAGCTTGATTCACATCGTTCAATAACTCGTTCATGCTGTTTAATTTATTGGTAATATCTTCGCGAATCAATGTACTAAGGTTTTCAGCACCTTCTACAATATTACGAGCAAGATTCTTCATTTCCTTGAATTCTAATTCTTTGTTTTCTTGGTTTTCATCATTACTTATTTCAAATATATTTTCTAAAGCAGTATGTAGAGTTTGTTCCATCTTTTCATCAAACTTTTGAGCTGCAGGTTGTACATTGACTCGGTTTTCAGCATTTGGGATTTCATCGTTTGCTGTGGTACTATTATTTTCGTTAGTTGTATTTTCACTGGGCTCTACTGTTTCAAAGACGGCTTCATTTTTTGGGTCTGACACTTCAATTTTAGCATGAGTGTTAGTAGTCGACATAAAAATAGAATTTATGTTTCTTAAAGCTTGCTCTGTATCTTTTAATTTCATACTAATAGACTTTGGGAAAACAGTTTCAGCGTCTATTACGTCATCTTTCTTTTTCTCAGTTGGTTCTTTTTTTTCTTTGGTGTCAAGAGATGCCGTCACCAGATTCAAAGAAATATTCATAGCTTTATTTACAGCATACGATTCCTTGATTTCTTCAAAGGCTGTACGTCTTTTCTGCCCTTTCACCAATTGAACAGAAGATTCTCTTAGCACTGGATCAGCTGGTATTTCCATTTGAAATGGTTTTATTGAATTTTGCAGTTTTGGGTCTTCGAATTTATCCGCTAATTTCGAAAGCATGTCTTTAGTTTCCTGAAACCTAGTTTCATAAGACTTGTTAGTGTATTTGGAGACAACTTTTTCGATTTCTTCGTATTCTTTTTCCGTCTCATCTTGGTCTTCATCCTGTGATTCCTCTTTAATAGTATTAGTTTTTACTTCTTTACTCTTAGCTTGATAATCAGCTAAAGAATTCATCAATGACGTCATATTATTATAATTGATTTCATTAATTTTCTTAGAATCTCCAGCAGCTGATGCGAATTCACTTCTCATATCATTAAAACTTTTCAAATTGATTTCTTCCAATGGTACGGCAACATGTTTCTTGCTCGAAGAACTTTTCATTATCTGTATTTGACGTGCCTTTTCAGCTAAAATAGGATTATCTTTTAGCATTTCTCTTACTTCAGTTCCAGATAATGGTTTTGTATGTTCACCGATTTCGGTAAAAGGCTGTCCAGACATAACTTCAAACTCAGTTTTGATTTCTCCAAGGGAGGAAGCTTTTATATAAGGCCTTGTACCTTCCAACAGAGGTTTTAACTCATTTTCGATAGCTTTATCGATTACTACCTGTGGCAACTTCGCATCTTTGAAGAATATGCGCAACTCCTCACGTTTTTGTTCTATATAAGCAGCATTGCCCACCGAAGCCTCGGCCACTTCCATGTTTTAACACTTTTTTGGACAAATTAATGATTTCTTTCTATACTTTTACATAAATATACAAATCTTGGCGTAATTATGAATCGCCATGGATATCAGACAAAACGCGTTTTTGTTTGATCGAATGTTGATTTTAGAAATTTAAAATAAGAGCGGGAACCGCGGTAACGATCACGTTTCATTACTTGTAAAATAGCAAATTTAATTTTAGAAATCCATAACATATATACCATTACATTACCAATATACATACACGCCATTGCAATATAGTTGACAAATAAACTTTTAACGTTTGATACTAACTAATTATAGTAAAATTGCTGGATTAAAATCTTACACATTATGAATATTACTACGTAATAAGAAACGTTAAAATTTAACAGAAATCGTTCAAAAATTATAATATTTATCATTGTTACAAGTTACAAGTGCAATTACTATTTTGTTCATGAGTTTGCGATTTTTGGTATAATAAAAAAATAGGTCTAAAGTATAACATAACTTAAGAAAATTTTAGAGAAATATCATTTTACATTAATTGAAAATATTAATAAATTACATTTTTTTTTTCTATAATCTTGATTCAGAACGCTCTTCCAAACGTCAAAAGTTAATTGATTTTCACGAAAACTGAAAACAAAGAACGAAATAATTAATGGTTTTATGGAAAATTACAAAATGTATAATGTAGTTCTTGCTTAAATAATACACACTATACATACATTTACTTTAAGAATAATCCAAAATGACGGACGAACGTAATTTCCGTTCATCTTATTATGAGAAAGTGGGATGCCGTGGGGTAGAAGAGAAGAAATCTTTGGAAATTCTTATGAAAGAAAAGCCATGGGATAAAGTAAAGCTGAAACAGTTTTGTTTGAGGTTCACTGTTCCCGCTGCTTATAGGAATATTGTATGGAAAGTACTTCTAGGTAACATTTTTAATGTTTTTCTTCTATAAGCGCTTAAATATTAACGGAGACTTTCCCGAAGGGATTAATGCTTTATATTTGATCGGTATTGTTAAAACTGTTTGTCGAGGCAGTTGTGTTGAAGTTTGCTAGAATATGAGTAAGTATAATGACAAATTTTAAATACATTCCAGATATTCTCCCTGTTTACCCTGATTCTCACGAATTCGTAATGGAGCAACGTACAGCTCAATTCAATGATCTTATACATGCAGTGGAGGTTTTGGATCTTGTAGAGCCTAATGCCTCTCGCAGCGCTGTGCTTTTTGCAATGTGGATGTTGGAAATGGAGCAGCGGAAACCACCTCTTTTTCCTGAGACTCTATTTTCTGTAGGTATTCATAAATAAATGTGTGTAGATGAATATATATTGATACTTGAAAGGCAAAATGGGATAAGCAACACTTTTGGTCATATTGAGCTATATATACCATTGGAATCAGCTAATGTTTCTGATTCCAACAGTATACATGTATATAATTCAATATGACCCAAAAGTATTGCTTATCCCATTTTGCCTTTCAAGCATCAATATGTTGTCCTTACTCTAACTTAATAAATTACTAACCAAGTTTTATATATATAATTCCAAACATTTGTTTTTTCAGTCTGCTGAAACATTTATACCTATAGCAGAAACTCTTCAAGAGCTGTATGATGAAGTAGATGTGTACTGGCTGACTAAAACCCTCACAGAGGTAGTGAAGAGCATGCAGAAAGATATACCCAAGCTGAAAGAAGCATTCTATACTATGCTGGAGAAAGAGGATGGGGAACTTTATAAGTAATTCATGATTTTATTGTTATTTCTAATTTATTTTTCATTGATTTAGCACAATCAACATGTCATAAACTTCACACATAACAATTAAGATTACACAAAACAAATGGACTAGTGCTAAAGTATTGACTCAATTACAGATTGTCACAATGTCCAACTGTTTTTTATATCAGAATTTTAGATCAAAAGAAGAGTTGTAATTAGAAATACATTATGTTACATACAGCTGTAATTTTCCATACAAGCTGAATTGTCAGAAAGTTTATGCAGATAGAAGAAGACAAAATAGGCTCTTTTCACAACCACACTAGTATACATAGATATGCACCATACAAATTTTGTTTGATTTTGATCCATAAATGTATCAAAATCAAATAAACTTGTATAACCAGTCAAAAACAGAAAACATAATAATAATAATGCACCAGGCAACAATCACCTGGTCTGAAAGTATAAAATTTCCTGTACTATCAGTACGAGAGCAATGGAATCGCTCCGGGGCACTACCCAAAACAACCAACAGACCAGAACCAATTTAAATAAATTCTTTTCCAAAATCGGTCCTACAGTGCTAACCGTGCCAACAATTGAGTTGCCAAAGTCGAAAAATTTTGACAATTCGCATTTGACAACTAACATAGTATTATCTCAACAATTGCGTTATACTATAATTTATCTCAAAATTGCGTTATATTAATAATTTATTTCCAAAATTTCGCTATATTGATGTGTCATTCATATACAATTTAATTTCAAAGTGACGGGACAACATTGTCGCTTTGACACTAAATAGGTAATATTAATATAACTTAAAGCAATTTTGAGATAATATTATGTTAGTTGTCATGTGCGAATTGGTGCACCTGATGCCCTGCGGCAATTCCGTTCGTTATGATGGTAAGCATTATAGTGTATGCCATTGATACAATAAGAAGAAGTACAATATTATAACATAAAATTATGCACATATAGAACACTGATATACTTGAAGATAGAAAGAAATGTATTGGTCCTGCAAGCGCAACCATGGCGGCCATTTGACTGATAACGTTATCCAATATTAATGGCACTCCTCTTTACAATTAAATAAACATCCAATGATTTCGTTTTAAAATACTCGTTTTTTTACATATCAAAATGAAACCTCTTACACCCTTTATAACCAGTTATGTATTGCGTTGCCAAAAAGAAATCTGGGTTCGTTATATCCACAGTTATAATGAAATATAACATAAAATAATATATACTGTGCTGTAACGAGTGTGCCTGATTATACATACACACACACAGTACACATTATACAGTTTATTGTACGTAAAACACAGAATAGCTTTTTTAATAATGCTGATTGAGTTTTTTTCCAGTCATTTGATGGATATAAATGCAATACAAATTTTTCCACTACTCAAATGGTTTAACTGCTGTTTTGCGGGTGTTCTTGATAATACATCACTTGCTAAGTAAGTAGAATTATTACTTTTTCTAATTCTAATTCTTTGCACAGAATTTCACACTGTCTGAACTTCCAGAATATGGGACAAAGTGTGCAGCGGTGCACCAAAAGTTTTATCATTTGTGGCTGTGATGCTAGTCATTACGTTAAGAAGAAACATATTAAAAGCCAACAATGCAGAGGATGTCCTCAAATGTGTTTCTGAGGTAAACTTTAATTTTTCATTTTGAGAGCCAGACTAGATGTTTGGAGAATTGTTCCTCAAACATGAAAGAGCTCTGTGGTCTCACAATTATAATGGACTAGGATAGAGTATAAATGCTTAAATAGTTTGATCAGGTGGTAAGGATAGATTGGTATGTACATAGCACAAGAATTTAGACACAATAATTTGACCAGATTCAGCATTTAGTCCTCTAAAAATGTCAATACACGACAATATGTGATGGTGCAAGTAAAGAAAAATGTGAAACCTAGGTTATAGAGAATCTTAGGGTCGTATTCCAGAACGCTACTCAATGCTCAAGTCAGTACTTGAGTATGATTTCAAGCACTGGAAATAATAATAATTTATTTAAGCTTTTTACAAATAATGGTGTATTATAACTGAATAAGTGTTAGTTTACCATGTTGCGTAAAAGTGCGTGTGTGCATGCGTTGGGAGTGGGTGTGTGAGTGCGCGCGCGCGCGCGTTCGTGTGTGTGTGTGTGTGTGTGTGTGTGTGTGTGTGTGTGTGTGTGTG